TAATTTTTTATTAGACTTTAAAAATAATTATCTCCACGGAACTTCTTCGTAAACGGGAAACTAAAATTAATATTCATTTATTTTGATTCATTAACTCTCTAAATTAGCAAAGTGGAATATGCCTAAATCAAAGTGGGTAAAGCAACAGGCGCGGCTGGAAGAGATGGTTATTTATATTCAAATATTAAAGAAATTAGGGTAAGAAAATATAAACAAATATTTGAATTATATAAATTCATGCATTTTCCCCTTTTGGGATGTTTATGTGCGTGCCGATAATAGGAGAATTATGAAACAAAAGCCAAGTATTGGCATAAAGGCGTTAAGTTTGTTTTTATGCCTAACAGGCAAGCCGGTGTTCCAATTGAACAGCTGATCACTTCCGTACGCATGCACGCAAGTAAGTATGAAAAAATAAAAATTAAAACGGCTGTACTTACAGTTTTTGTCCAACGTCGAAAGATCTTTCGGGGGGGACGCGCTGCGTGGGCTCACCGCTGCTTGCATGCATAATTTTTGGTACTAAAGTTTATGTTCGATATTTACTGGGTGGGCTTTAACTTGTTTTTAAACAAACAGGGAAAAAAAAAATTAAAGAATAATAAGCGCACTAGAGAAGTTCATTTTGCGCTGGACATATATATAAATATATATGTGGATATATATATATAATGTTGCCTTTAAAGGTTGGGGTAGGCTAATTTTATGCCTTTTTCTTTCTCACGGGCCTCCAGCCAAAAGGTAGGCACCAACACAACGGGGCTTTGCCAATTGCCCATGCACAGGTTTCACCGAAGACAACAAAAAAAATCACTCGCACTCCGTTATTAGGCGACGTCCGTCATAGACGATATGACCCACGAAACTGCAGAGGCGGTTCTTCTCGCCGTTCCAGTGGCCTGATCGGAAAGCCGATCTTACCTCTGGCACGCCTTCGTCTGGCGTACCCCTCCCTTAGCCTAGTCGCTGCATTAGCATGCGCGCATCAAAGCGACAGGCAAAGGTTAATATTAGATTTGACTAATTATTAAGTGCCAATTCTGCACGAAAACAATGTAAATCGAAAGAATGTGAATTAGAATTTGCATTTCAAATGCGAAGAAACGAGAAAAATAAACTTTACCCGATGTCCGGAAGTGGCACCATGCAGAAAAAGCCTTTCCACAATAGAATCCTTCAATTTAGTTTTCGCCAATTTATACACTTTTTATTCGCTGTTAATACAGCAACGATACTTCGTTGTAGGTTATAGGTACAAATATAATCTGCATAACCAAAAAGTTGATAACCCCGTCAGCGTGGATAAGGCACAACCTTCCTCTAGGCGATCTCGACGTAAAAAGAAAGATCCGGATGCTAAGGCCAAGCAAGAAAACTTTCTTTTACGGAAATTGCTTCACACCTCTTTTGACAATTTCCTTTCGACAGGTCAAGGTTAAAGAAAGGGCCACTGACAACTCGCAAATATTGCCACGGTGCAACAATGAAAATAACCAATAGGTGGCCGATAGCCGTGCGGTTGCAGAAAATTAACTCCCTTTAAAATAAGTAAAAACAATTGAGAAAATTTGTTTATCTTGTAAACTAAGGCCAGAAAAAAAAGGTGATCGTAGGCAGTTGGCGCTAAAACATAACGCTAATTCAAATCGTAACTACACAAGCAGTGTGTGTACATAAGCAGCCGAAGCACTGCTTGACCAAGGTAGTGCAATAGGAAAAAAAAACGATATTCGCTGCCAGCGTCGTTACACCTTTTCAAATGAAAAGTTTGTGTTATAAATTTAGTCCGATCGATTTCAAATTTGGGGACTATAATCTACGTAACTAAATCTATAACTTTGCGTTCAAGGATTTTCAAAATATGCATTCTACAAATGCAGGCAGAACAAACAATACAAAATATCAAACAGTTGGGGACAACTAAGCATACATACATACACACACACACACACACACACACACATACAACAGCTGTTCGTGTAGTTGCGTGCAAACGATTGAAATAGCCAAAGCAAAATGTGAGACACTAATGTGTGAATGTACACACATACATACATATGTACACATCTATGTACATGTACAGAGCAAGAAATGTTAATTAATTAAAAATTATTTAACATTTATAAAAGTAATTTTTTCTTTGTTTAGTAGTACATTTGGCATTACGGTTTTCATTAGTAACTTTATGAAGCAACAACAAATTACAAAGAACGCAAATATCAAATAGTTGGGGACATCATTTACACACACTCACACACAGAACAAGCAACAGTTCGTGTCTATGTATGAAAAAGTAAAGAGAAACATGAATGCATATGTATGTATGTATGCCTGTGTACGTACATACATATATAGCATGTATGTACATTCGTATGTATGTAAGTATGTATACATTGGACAATCGAGCACTGTTTGTAATAAATAATGTTCTATGGTTTTAAATCAAATTTTTAAAACGAAAAACAACAACAACTGCAAGTCATTACTCGCGCTCATGTAGGCGTTATCCGCCTATATACATACATATGTACATATATAAGTATGTATTAAATTTGTTAATTCAACACTAATTTGTGTCTTCAGTTCCAAATATGATTGTTGTGAAGGTGTGTTTCTGCTTTTGTAAATCGCATGAATACACTCACAAAATAGACTTAACGGTAAATGGCTCTTAGATTTGTTCAGAATACATTTGTAGCGTTGTTAGCTAACACTAAAACGGTAAGTCGCTGTAAATATGCGATCAGCTGAGATGCTAGAGATGGGCATGTGTCGGATGCTCTATGTGCTAGAGCATCAAAACTATCGATAGTTGAATCCGTCGATACAATCAATAATTCCATCGAAGTTTGAATGCAATAAACAGAAAATTTAAATAATAACATCTTATAATTTATTGAATTCAATTAGAACAAATCATATACAAACATACATATGTACGTAGGTCTGCTTTCGGTTTCTGCTTTACTATCGCTTACGCAGTCGTTGCCTAGCGACGGTAACTGTAAGCTTATGACATTTTGTCTTTGAAATTAACAGGCGTAAATGATCAAACCGAAAGAAGAAGCGCGAGCCAATGACTTGCAGTTGTTGTTGTTTTTAGTTTTAAAAATTTGATTAAAAACCATAGAACATTATTTATTTTTTCCAAGATACATACACAGCAAATTGTTTCTCCTCTTCCAACATTAACTTTTACGGCAATATTCATGAAGCTAACTGCATATTCATGCCTGTTGTCGATGAACCTTCCATTTTGTCCGCGCTTCAAAATCTTAAGCAAAGTTTTGCTCCCGGTCCGGATGGTATACCTAGCTGCGTTCTGAAATTCTGTGCTGATGCCCTTAGCAAACCACTTTATAAACTATTCTCCTTACCACTTGTCTTTTAATCCTGATCAATAATAATATACTTTGTGGAGTCTCTGCCACGCCTCCTTCTGTGTGTTACATACATTCGCACAAAACTAATATAGCATTTTACCCTTTAGGTACAGGCTTTAAAAGGTCATTGAAAGTTGCATTATCGAAAAAAAGCTAGCCGTACCAATTAATAGTGAGTGGTTAGGGCTCGTACATACAAAGTACAGTTTCAACAGCGTACTATACATATACATATTTGTGTCTATGCGTCTAGACTACAACTTTCTTCATAATTAACCTATTGTAATGACATACGGGCTCATAATCACTAACTGGAGGTATTTGAAAAATTCTGAGTACAAAAATCAAAAAATTACGGGAGCTATGTAAAAAACATAAATTGCGGGGGAGTGCATCGAAAAAAACTCAAGTTCGTACTTTCTCGGTCATAGGAGAATCTGGATACAAAGTTTGGTTATTCTAGCTTATACATTCTGAGATCCTTGCGTTTATACGGACGGACATGGCTATATCGACTCGGCTTGTCATCCTGATCAAGAATATATATGTATACTTTGTGGAGTCTGCCTCTTTCTCCCTGTTACAAACATTTGCACAAAACTAGAATATCTTTTCACCCTTTGGGTACAGGGTATAACAAGTTGGAACCATTTACTTCACGCGGTCGATCACAAAGTTAAACTGAGATAGTTGAACCTATTCTGATGAGCTTAAAATATGCAGCGTTTTTAGCGACTGTAAGACGAATCCCGTTTTTTTTTGTGCTATGTTAAATGTAAGCAAATGAAGCTTCACAACATAAATATGTAGCTAAAAGCTGAAATATTGGACGAAATTTAAGCAGCATTCTTTGAACCTATTCAGTTTAGCGGCATTGTATGTATAAGCAGAATTTACGATGCAAAAACTTAACAAGGGGTTTGTGTGAGCACATATGTATGCAGTACAGAGTTGACTCAACGCAGCAACGACAGCTGCTGGCAGCACTTTGTAAGAGATTACATTTATGGCTATAATTTCCTTAAAAAATCAGCCAATCATGATGAAACTGATGAGTATATGCAAACATAATCACTAACTGAAGGTGTTCCCAAAATTTGAGTTGAACATGCCAAGAATTACGGGAGTTATGGGAAATCGCCAATTGCGAGGGAAATTTCGGAATATACATTGCCTGCGTATTTACATAAGGCATCTTGAAGTAAAATTTGGTATCCGTAGTTTTTAGTCTTCGAGATATAGATTATTATACGACCGGCGTTACGGAAAATCCACGTATTCGGCAGAGTGGAAATCAAAAAAAAAAAAAACAAACTTGCACAGCGTACACACAAGGCATCTTTATGCAAAAGTTGGTGTCTCTATCTCTTATAGTCTCTGAGATGCAGGTGTTCTTACGATCAGAGATTAAGAATATACATAATTTGTAGGGTCTGTCACGTTTCCTTCTGCCTGTTACATTTTTAACTTCCCGCAAATCTAATATACTCATTTCATGAACAAAGTCTAATTAGTGGGTTTCAAAATCAAATTAAATGAAATATTTTTTATTGTAAATGTTAAATCTATTTTGTTAAGCTTCACTAATGCAAGATTTTATTCTTAACACTATGTGAATGCTTGTAAAATACAAACAACGATACTTTATTAAAATGGAATATTTAACGATAACGTAAAAATAAGTCTGAGCTAGACCTTGGACCTTGAAGTCGTTTAATGGCAAAAAACCTAACGTTCCTGAAAACTGTATTTTTTTTAAATGAAAAGCGGTTTTTTATCTGTCACCTAAAGATTTACATGATCATAATTAGAATATGCAATTGCGAGCTCCTGTTCAATTTAAACAAACATTTTTTCAAGCATTTTTCTAAGCTTTTCGTGAGCATAGCGAATCTTTTGGTAAAGATCTTTTGAAACACCGTTCTGAAGTATGTTTGAGAATCGGTATGTACGAAAGTTTTTTTCATGATCCATATATGTAATGGCACTCATCCGTGGACAAAGTATGATCTTCATGTGATCCGAAAAATTAAGCTAGAATTAAAAAATATGTCATTTTCAGGCCATACCAAAAAGTAATTAATCACCTGAACGGAGCCATTGGTCAGGTGCATAACAACTGCGCACGTAGTTCGAAACCAAGAGTGCAAATGTGGCATTCGAGATATCTGGTCATTTTCAAAGTTGACATTGTTGGCGCCGGCTTTGACCAGATGCTCAGTCATGTATCTTTTAAAATACGACAACAATTTCATTTTTTTATCTAGAGTTTTACAGTAGTCCTTGGTTGTCATATAAGTCTCTTTGCCGTCCTTATCTATGAAGTGTACATTAATTTGGTTAGGCAATAGAATTAATTTCGTTGTATCGTTAAACATGACACCGATGCCTTCATCACAAAGCTGATACCCAAAGCCGTATTTATCACTATAGTCGACCCATTTTGATATCCAAAATAGGGGTTGCGCAGCTGGATCAGTATTTTCATCACCCAGATTTCCTTGCAGTAATCGAGGCTATACGAATATATGGGTATAGTGAATTTATAAGCTTTTCAACTGCAACTTACCTTTCCATTTATAAGATTGGACAATTGTTGATGTAGGCTTTCTATATCGCTGCGATAGTCCTCATTATGACGACACACTTGTGCTGAAGCAGTAATGGCATCATGAAGGTTGTTTTTGAGAAATGTTGACTCCAGACGGGTATCGTCCTTCAAACCATTCATTTCAATCAAAGGTTTACGGTGAGATGGATCCTCAATAATGTCGTTAATACCAATGCGTGGAGCCATTGTTAAGCAAGAGCTAGGTAGAAACATTGGTACTTGCGAAGCTGTTAAAAATTCAAAGTGAAGGAGCTGAGAAATTGTAGGTCGTGTTTCCGGGTTTGGTTGCAGCATGGCAATGACCATATCGGCTGCAGGCTTTCGTAAATAGCTTGGCACCCGGTATTCACACTTTTTTATCTTTGAATACGTATCCTTGAGTGTTTTCGTTTCAAATGGCGGTTGACCTACTAACAGGGTATACATAACACATCCAATCGACCAAATGTCTACCTCGAATGAGTGACCTTTCTTAGTTAAAATTTCTGGTGCAATATAATTTGGAGTGCCACATAATGTCTTTTTACGCTCTCCCTCATACTCAATGCGTGTGGCTAAGCCGAAGTCACCAATTTTAACGTGAAGCATGTCGTTTAGAAAGAGGTTCCCAAGTTTCAAATCACGGTGGATGATACGGTTGTCGTGCAAATATTTTACGCCTTGAATAATCTGAAAAATGTAGTAGCGACACTCGTACTCCGTAATATTTTTACGTCGCTTGTGTAACTCCATCATTGACTGCAATGCGAAATAATAATGAAGTTTGTCCTGAAATCAGTCGGCTTACCAACTTACCCTTTTTTTGCACAACTCAAGTACAATATATATATTGTTAATATCCTCAAAATAACTGTGAAACTTCACTATATTTGGGTGATTTAAGCTGCGGTGTATTGTGATTTCCTGAGCCGTCTTCTCTTTCTGATTGTGCTTTATCATAAGCTTCTTGGAGACAATCTTTCCCGCGTAGACATCATCAGTTTCCACATCGATTATTTCGTAACATTTCGCAAAGCCGCCCTGCAAAATAAAATAAAACCAACGACTTAGCGCGCACATGCATGTACATATAAATAGGTTGAATCGGCCTTTGAAAACTATAGATCTGAGCACGGAAATACACATACCATGCAGAAATACAGAATCAATCAAAACAGCTGTAAAAGACCCTGGCTTTTCAGTCCCAATCGGATCGTCCACCCGAGATTATTTTACAGGCGGTTATTAAATTAGTATAAAATTATACATTCCCGTCTTACCTTTCCAAAAAAGCGCATGCGCATATAGGTTTTGGCCGCATTTGAATCGAAAAGGCGATCTGGTATATCCGTGCCCTTTTCTTCAGGCTTTGCGGCCATTTTGGTTTGACGCCTTCTTCGTTTATTAGTCCTTTTGAAATCTAGAACAATACTCACACCTTACTTCTTCTAAATGTTATAACGAATTAGAAGTGCAGGCGCCTTTATATTTTTATTGAGGAACAAATTAAAATAATAATTGCAGACAAATGACATCAATTAGATATTCGGAATAAATGAACTCAAAGAACGCAAGAAACAATCGACAGATAAAATTGACTAACAAAAAACGCGCCGATACCATTTCACTTGATTAAATTAGTCTTCAGCACACAGAAATCGATAAGCACGCCAAATACAACTCTGCTTTAAAGGCTATAAAAAAATCACATGGACTAACAAATCGAATCGGAAAAATATCCATTTTCATATATTATATGTAATAAAATCTATCTCTAAGGGCAATAGAAAATAACAAATAATGTTCAGTACATAATACGAAAACGCTATTCCACTTTTTTTTACAAAGGTCAGTAATATACAGAAACTCAGGTCAAAATTAATTATATTTAATTATATATATATATATATGTATATATATATATATATGTATATACAATAAAATACAATATACAATAAAATTTAAGTAAAAATATATGCAACTGTAAATAAAGTAAATAGTACAATGTACATAACATAACAACAATAATACTATAAATATATATATGTATATATTTATAGTATTAGTATATATATATAAATATATACATATATATATATATATATATATATATATATATATATATATATATATATATATATATATATATATATATATATACGAGTTTATTTATTTTTTCTTATAACTTCCGTAATTCTCGGAATTTTAAAATCAATTTTGGTAGGTACATCCAGTTAGTACTAATGTGTCCGTGTGCCAAATGTCATCATGATAGGTCAATTCTGAAGAAAGTTATAGCCATAAGTAAAATCGCTGCTCATGCGCTGCCTGCAGCTCTGTCGGCAGCGCTGCCCGCAGCTGTTGTTGTTGTTGCTGCTTTTGTTCAACTTTGTGCTGCATACATACACGCATATGAACACGCATAGGTACGTGATGTAAATGTATGCTGTTTAAACTGAACATAAACATGTATTCTAATTTAATTTAATTAATTATTTTAATTAATTAATTCATTCATTTTTTTTAATAATTTAATTTTTTTTAAATTTTTTTTTTTAATTTTTCCTTTTTGTGGAGAGTACAGGCTATTTTACTGTCGGGCTTGCTCGACTGTAGCGTTCTATCTTGTTTTATTTAAGTAATGTTCGTTTGTGATTTTTGTGTGACCCAGTCTTAATTTAATAATTTTGGTTTGGTCTAGTCTTGAAAGTTCGTTGTGTTGTAAATTTTGAAAGATATTTTGGATGTTAGTCTTTTTTGGGTTAATTTTCTTGTACCAATTGGAGCTAAGATTGTGTCCTTGTTGAGTCAGAATATATTGGTTCTTAAAATGTTTGTTGATGTCGTTTGTGTTGTAATTGATTGTGGTGATAAGAAGAAGCTTGTAGGCTGATTTAGCGTTTACATCGGCGAGTTCGTTGCCTTTGATGCTCGTATGGCTTGGTATCCACATAAGTTTTATTTTGTTCGGTAGACGCATAAGTATGTTTCTGATGGATTTTAGCGCCGACAATGAGTCAGAGCATATCATGAACTTCCCCCTTTTTGTTTTGATATAGTTAATGGCTTCGAGGATGGAAATTATTTCCGCTGAGTATATCGATGAATATGTGGTAGTATACCGATTTTGAGCACTGATTGTTCAGTTGTGATGGCAAAAGCAGTTGTGTGAGTGGATTTTGATCCATCTGTATATACGAATTGATATTGTTGGTGGTTGTGTTTGAACTCTATGAATTTTTGTTGGAATATTGCTGGGTTAGTGGAATTTTTTGAATAAAGGTGTAGGGTAATATTTACAGATTCTTGGTTGAAGTGCCAGAATGGTTTGGTAGATGTTAATATTTTTAAAGGTTTGTATGGTGTGTGATGGAGTGAGCAAATGTTTACTGTTTTGGAGATAGTGGAATTTACTTATACTATATTGTTAATATTGGGTTTTTTATACTCTGTACATGAAATGTACAGAAGTATATTAGGTTTGCGGGAGCTGAAAAATGTAACAGGCAGAAGGAGGCGTGGCAGACCCCACAAAGTATATATATTCTTGATCAGCATGACGAGACGAGTCGATCTAGCCCTGTCTGTTTGTCTGTCCGTCTGTCCGTCCGTATGAACACCTGGATCTCAGAGACTATAAGAGATAGAGACACCAAATTTTCCACAAAGATGCCTTATGTGTGTATTCTATACGAGTTTGTTTTATTTTTTTGATTTTCCCCCCCACTTCCCCCCTATGGGGGTTTTCCCGAGAGACTATAAGACCTAGGAACACCAAATTTTAGTCCAAGATGCCTTGTGTGAATACGCAGAAAATGTATATTTTGGAATTTCCCTCCCTCCCTCTCTCCCAAGCAAATCGTATCTCCCGTAATTCTTGGAATTTCGAACTAAAATTTTGGAAATACCCCCAGTTGGTTATTATGTGTCCGTATGCCAAGTTTCACTATGATAGACTGATTTAACAAGAGGTTATAGCCATAAATATATTTGCTGCTGCAGCGCTGCTGCAGCGCTGTCCGCGGCTGTTGATGCTGGTGCTTTGGTTGACTGGTAACATGTTTACACAGACACGAATAGATGCGCATAGGCATACATACACTCACACAGACGCAATTGCTATGTAAATGTGCAATTATACACCCTTTACGTGAATTCGAATACCGAGAAAGGTAAAATCGATCATTGAATTTTTTTTACTTTCTTATTTTTTTTTATTTTCTATAATTATTGTAAACATATGTACAGAGTATTTCAAAGTCGGGACACCCGACTTCAGCTTTTTTACTTGTTTTTATTATTTTTTCCAGAGGGGAGTTAGATGAGAATATTAAATTTTTGCCCAATTTGCCGGTAAGGACGTCTCTTCTGGTTGTAATGTAATGTTGGACTCAATGATTAAGTTGTTTATGGGTGTTGTTCTGAATGCTCCTAAGCAGGTTCTTATAGCACTATTTAGGATTGATTGTATTTTTTTAAGCTGTGTTGTTGGGGCGTAACCATAAAAGGTTAAGTCGTAATCAATTTTGGATACTATCAGTGCTTTCAAGATATTTAGTAGAGTGGATGTACTGCAGTTGAATCGGGTGGAGGAGAGACATTTTAAAATGTTCAATCTTTTGTGTAGTGCTGGAGTTAGATCTTCTATGTGTGAGTTCCATTTGTATCTTTTATTTATTGTTATGCATAATATTTTTAGTTTGTTCACTTGTGGAATTGACAAATTATCTATTACAATTTGGGTATTGCAGTGGTGTTTTCTACATATATGCATATGTTTGCATTTGTTTGGGGACAGGTTGGCGCCGGATTGAAGGCACCATTCTTGGATGTTATTGAAGAGTTGATTTAAGTTTATTGTTGAGTTTTTGTCTCTTTTGTGGTGGATAATTAGCTGGAAATCATCGGCAAATGCACTAAAGCTTATTTTCCTTTGTAGTTGGGTGATATTAGCTAATTTTTTGTAGGCTATGAGGAATAAGATTACTGAGATTGGTGAACCCTGTGGTATTCCATTGTGTAGAGAATATGTATTTCACTTTTTGTTGTTAATTCTCGTTTTTATTGAGAATTTTCGGTCCTATTTCCCACTCTCTTAATTGGTTTAGGATTGAATGGCTGCCTACTCTATCAAAAGCCTTAGAGAAGTCTAAGGATATGATAGAGCTGTGGGTGCCCGCTGGAAGGGATTTTGTTATCTATATGTAATAGGTCTATATGTAATAGGTTATCAGTAACGCCTTTCCCTTGCCTAAAACCTAATTGGTTGGGGTGAATAAGTTTTTTAGTGTTAACGTACCACCACAATCTTCGTGCTACAATCTTGTCCAGTACTTTGCTTAAGCAGGGGTTAAGGGAAATTGGTCTATAAGAGTTGATGGCTGTTTTATCTGAATTAGGTTTTAAAATTGGGACAGTTAGGCTGGTTTTGTAAGTTTGGGGGATGTAGTGGTAAAAATATTGTTAAAGTGGTCAAGAATTCTATGTTTTAGAGTTATGGAACTATTTTTGATCATGGGGTATGATATTCTGTCTATTCCCGGTGTTTTTCCCGAGAGATTGGATAGTGCAGAAGATAGTTCAATCATTGTTATTTCTTTTTCTATAGTTTGGGCTATTTTTGATGTGGTGTTGGGTGGCCGTGTTGTTGCTGAGTGTTTAAATGTGGAGAATTCAGCTGGGAAGTTAGAGTCGTCTGATTCGTTTTGCCAGTGAAGGGCGAAGGTATTTGCTATGATCTGATTATCTGTTATGTATAGGTTAGATATTGGGTCTTGGATACAGTAGACAGTTTTCGCAGGATTGAGTCCGCAGAAGCGTCTGATGCTGTGCCAGGTTTTGGAGACGGGGTTGATTTCTGTTGTAAATTTTGTAATAGCTTTTAGTTTTGATTTTTTAATTTCTAGCCTGTAGATAGCGTTGGCTTTTCTAAATGCAATTATGTTGGGTGAGGTTATATTTCTTTTAAGATTTTTCCAAGCGTTGACTTTGATTTGTTTTAGTTTGGTTAATTGGTTGTTCCACCAGGGGACATACTGGGCCAGTTTTCTTGCTGGCGTTTGGGGAATGCTTAGGTGGGCAGATTGAAGGATTATTTTTATTGATGTTGGCTGTTTTTTTTATTTATGTTTGAAGATATGGCAGTTTTTGTGTTGAATGTTGAGGTAAGTAAGTGGAATTTGTGCCAGTCGGCTTCGTCTAATTTAAAATTTGGCTTGTGTAGTACTGTGTTATTGGGGTTTTGAAATAAATTTATTAATATTGGGAAGTGGTCGCTTCCATTAAGATCGTCTGTGATGGACCAGTTAGCCTCTGTTATATCTGGGGTACAAAGGGAGAGGTCTATATGGGTGAAGGTGTCGTGAGTTATGAAGTAAGTGGGCGATTTATCGTTCATTAGTATTAGGTTGGAATGTCGGATGAATTTGGCTATTATGTTACCTTTTTTATTATTTCTTTGGGACCCCCAAAGTTGGTGCCAACTATTGAAGTCTCCCACAATTATGGCGTTATGTTGAAAGTTAAGGACGTT